TTTTTTTTTTTTTTTTGTATCAGAAGCAACAGCAACAATAAAATTATTTTGGGTTAAGTGGGTCTGTGTTTCTTCCTTATCTGGGCACGGATTTGGGGTGGGGCTGGTGGGGGTGGGAGGATCCATCCAAGCCCCAACGTGCAGCTTCTGTGGAGACACAGGTGGGATTGTCCAGCCTGGAGAAGGGAAGGATCCAGGGAGACCTTGGAGCCCCTTCCAGGGCCTAAAGGGGCTCCAGGAGAGCTGGAGAGGGATTTGGGATGAGGGCTGGAGGGACAGGACACAGGGAATGGCTTCAAAGTGAAAGAGGGGACATTTAGATGGGATATTGGGAAGGAATTCTTGGCTGGGAGGGTGGTGAGGGACTGGGATGGAATTCCCAGAGAAGCTGTGGCTGCCCCATCCCTGGGAGTGTCCAAGGAGAAGGGAAGGCTCCAAGGAGACCTTAAACCCCTTCTGGTGCCTGAAGGGGCTCCAGGAGAGCTGGAGAGGAATGTGGGACAAGGGATGGAGGGACAGGACAAGGGGGAATGGCTTCCCAGTGCCAGAGGGCAGAGATAGATGGGATATTGGGAAGGAATTCCTGGCTGGGAGGGTGAGGAGGGGCTGGGATGGAATTCCCAGAGAATCTGTGGCTGCCCCATCCCTGGGAGTGTTCAAGGCCGGGTTGGAGAAGAAAAGACTCCAAGGAGACCTGAGAGCCCCTTCCAGGGCCTAAAGGGGCTCCAGGAGAGCTGGAGAGGGACTTGTGACAAGGGATGGAGGGACAGGACACAGGGAATGGCTTCCCAGTGCCAGAGGGCAGGGATAGATGGGATATTGGGAAGGAATTCTTGGCTGGGAGGGTGGGGAGGCTCTGGCACAGATTGGGCAGAGAAGCTGTGGCTGCCCCATCCCTGGAAGTGTCCAAGGCCAGGTTGGAGCTCCCTGGGATGATGATGGAAGGTGTCCCTGCCCATGGATGGGCTTTAAGGTCCCTCCCACCCCAAACCTGCGATTCCATGATTCCCTCTCCCAGGCAGGGGACTGGAATGAGGGCGATGCCAGAGGTGTCAGCCCGGGGAAGGGGTGTCTGTGCCCAGCCCGTGGCTGCTGTGGGGCTGAGGGGGGTACAGGGAGCACAACAAGGATGAAAGAGGCACCAAAAGTGCTGCCAGAGGGGCCGGGGAGGGGATGGAGAGGATGGAGGGGATGGAGGGGATGGAAGGGATGGAGGGGACGGAGAGGATGGAGAGGATGGAGGGGATGGAGAGGATGGAAGGGATGGAGAGGATGGAGGGGATGGAGGGGATGGCAGGGATGGAGGGGATGGAGAGGATGGAGGGAATGGAGGGGATGGAGGGGATGGAAGGGATGGAGGGGATGGAGGGGATGGAGAGGACGGAGGGGATGGAGGTGATGGAGAGGATGGAAGGGATGGAGGGGACGGAGAGGATGGAGGAGATGGAGAGGATGGAGCCAAAGCTGCTGCCCCTGCCCGGAGAGGGGCCAGCCATGTCACCGCTTGTCCCGCAGCCACCCTCGGCCCCTGGTGCACCCCCGGCAGGATCAGGACCCCTCCTGCCACCGAGCAGGGGACGGGGGGCGGTGACACAGCTCGGCCGCTGATCGGGTCACCTGTCGGGTCGGCGTCCGGCTGGTTGAGTTCGGCTCCAACCCTCCTTCCAGGCTGATATTCCCGGTTTTAGGAAGCTCTTCCTGGCTTCCCACTGCAGACACAAGAGGGCAGGGCGGGACCGCGCATCGGCCACCGGGAGGGACCCCCCGAACTTTCCCGGGGGCAGCGGGAGCAGCGCTGGGAGCGGGGCCGCTCCCCTGGCACGGGAAAACAGGGGAAACAGGGGAAACAGGGGAAACAGGGGCCCGGGGGCTTCGACCGCCCCTCCAACAGCTCCCGGGGCTCCGAGGGGGGGACAGGTTTGTGTCGGACCCCCCAGGATTTGGGGTCTCCCCCTGGAGATGGGGCAGTGCCCCAGGATTTGGGATTTCCCCCTGGAGATGGGGCAGCCCCTCAGGATTTGAGATCTCCACTGGGACATGGGGCAGCCCCCAGGATTTGGAGTTCCCTTGGGAGATGGGGCAGCCCGCGGGATTTGGGTTCTCCCTGGGACATGGGGCAGTCCCCCAGGATTTGGGATCTCCCCCTGGACATGGGGCAGCCCCCCACGATTTGAGATTTCCCCCGAGGACCTGAGGGACACCAAAGAGCAGAGCTGGAGCTGGGTGGGGTTAGCACAGTGCAGCTTTATTTCCATGGAGGGGGCAGAGCTTCTCTCTCCCCCGTGGGCTCCAAACCCTCCTGCTGGCCCATGGCCACACCCCGCGGCCAGCTGAGCACCCCTGCTCCCCAGGCATGGACAGAACAGCCTTAATCCCCCTCGTCTACTTCCACAGCCCCTCGGATTCCCCAAATCAGGACGGCCAGGGAAGGGCCAGCCACCCCCAGCGACCCCCTGGGCACGGAGAGGCCACCCAGGTCCTGCTGGAACGGGGAACGGGGCACCGGGAGAGGGGGCTGCCAGGCCGGGGCTGGCTGAGGAGCATCTCCCAGGCGTTGTGTGGGATCTTTGATCCCTCCTGGAATCCCAGCAGGGCCACACCTCGCTCAGGGCCACTGTCACCAGCCGGGCAGGGACGGGGCACCGCGGAAGCAGAGAGCGGCTGCGGGGCTGGAGGCCCAAAAAAAGGGGGCTGCACACACGGGGGGTCTCCACCTCCCCTTCCCTTTTTAGGGGGGGTGTTCTTGGGACTGCCACGCGGAGAGGAACAAAGCCAGCACTTGGGTCTGGTGCCTGGAAACCCCCTGACGGACACAGCTCAGCTACAGGGACACACACACACACACACGCGCGCTGGACCACGGGCAGCGCTCCCCGGGGGACACGGACGGGGGGGGACGGATTGGGAAGGGGCAGGAGGAGTGGAGGGAAGGGGAGAGAGGGTCAAAGCTCTGCCGTGGCACCGGGCAGAGCCGCCCCGAGCGGGGGCCGAGGGCAGGTCCCGCCATGCCCCGTCCCGTCCCCTCGTGCCCCGCGGGCAGGGCGGGCAGCGGGCACCGCGCGGAGCCGGCTCAGCCCTCCCACCCCCCATCCCTCCCTCCCGGGCTGCAAAGAGAGAACCGAAAAGTGCTTAGAAAAGAGAGAAACCCCTAGAAAACTCCCCCCCCACACCGACACGCCACCTCTCCCCGGCCCAGAGCTCAGCGCCGCGGTGCCCGGAGCATCCCCGCGGAGGGAAGGGGGGGCCGGGGCCGGGCTGGGGGGCACGGGGAGCGCCCGGGCTCGCCCCAGCCCTGCCCTCTACACCAGGGCATAGTCAAACTGGCCCCTCTCCAAGCCCTCCTTGTGGTCGGTCCAGGAGGAGGCGGGCATGCGGCTGTAGGGGTCCAGCAGGATGCGGAAGCAGCGAACCATCAGCATCACCAAGAAGACCAGGAGGAAGATGACGAAGGCAAAGACAGTTTTCTGCTCGGCGTCCATGCCCGCGGCGCCCGCCGGGTGCTCCACCAGGGACGGCGAGAGCAGTTCATAATCCATCGTCGACGCATCATTCATGGCAGAGGCGGGGGGGGGGCGCGGGAGGGACGGGGAGGGATTTTGGCGGGGCCGGGGCAGCCAAACTTCAGCGTCCTGCTGTGCCCGCTCACCCCCCGGGCACCGCTCACTCCATGGGCACCGGCGCGGGGTGCGCTCCTGCCAGAGCCCAGAGATCCTGGAGGGGAAAGAGAGGCGGTGAGAGAGGAGGGATTGGGCACGGGGAAAGGATTTGGGCACAGGGAAGGGATTTGGCCATGGGGAAAGAGGGAAAGGTCGGGGGGAAAAGGAATTGGATGCAGGGAAAGGAATTGGATGCAGGGAAAGGAATTGGACACAGGGAAAGGAATTGGACACAGGGAAGGGAATTGGATGCAGGGAAAGGAATTGGACACAGGGAAAGGAATTGGACACAGGGAAGGGAATTGGATGCAGGGAAAGGAATTGGACACAGGGAAAGGAATTGGACGCAGGGAAGGGAATTGGATGCAGGGAAAGGAATTGGATGCAGGGAAAGGAATTGGACACAGGGAAAGGAATTGGATGCAGGGAAGGGAATTGGATGCAGGGAAAGGAATTGGACACAGGGAAAGGAATTGGCCATGGGGAAAGGAATTGGTCATGGGGAAAGCAGAGCTGGTGAGGGAGCAGGAATTGGCCTCAGGACACAGCAACGGGCACAGGGAAGGGCAGGGAAGCTCCCAAGGGGATTCCTGTTTTTTTAGCAAGCTCGAGAAGCCACCCACGAGGGGCACAAGGGCGTGGGGTGGGTGGGCAGTGCAGGGCACTGGTGCAGAACTTGTCTGTCCAGTCACAAATCCCCAGAAATCCTCTGGAGAGGGACCCAAACCCCAGGTAATTCCCACCAAAAATTCCCTCACTCTGCAGTCAGAGTGGGCTGCTCAGGCTCTGCCCATCCTGGCCTCCGAGTTCTCCCAGGACGGACACGAGGTCGGAATGTGCTCCCTCCTGCTGAGGGACACGTGTCCAGCTGTCCTCCCTTTGGCTGGGCAGCAGCAGGGGCTGGTTCCAGGAGGAGAAGGAGGGCACCCACCTCACTGCAGCTCCGTGGGGGCACCAGCATTGCTACTGCAGCAGGAGCAGGGGGAGGCCGTGTCCGAGCAGCCACGTCACTGAGGGAAGGTCTCCAGGGTCCAGCTTTCCTGGGCTGGGGAGGCAGAGCAGAGGGACAGAGAGGGCAGAGGGGGTTAAAGGGCTGGGGAGTCACTGGAGGTCACGAGGAGCACGAGGCACATCTGGAGTTGGCAGTTCTGAAGGGAGTTAACATGGGAGAAAATCCACGGCAGCCCTGGGAGAACATCCAATCCACCTTTCCAGGAGAACATCCACAGCAACCTTCCTGGGAGAACATCCAATCCACCTTTCCAGGAGAACATCCACAGCAACCTTTCCAGGAGAACATCCACACCAACCTTCCTGGGAGAACATCCACAGCAACCTTCCTGGGAGAACATCCACACCAACCTCTTTAGGAGAACATCCAACCAACCTTTCCAGGGGAACATCCAATCAACCTCCTTTGGAGAACATCCAATCAACCTCCCCAGGAGAATATCCAACCAACCTTCCTGAGAGAACATCCAACCAACTTCCTTTGGAGAACATCCACACCGATCTTCCTGGGAGAACATCCACACCAACCTTTCCAGGAGAACATCCAACCATCCCCTTTAGGAGAACATCCAACCAACATTCTTTGGAGAACATCCAACCAACCTCTTTAGAAGAACATCCAACCAACATTCTTTGGAGAACATCCAACCAACCTCTTTAGAAGAACATCCACACCAACTTCCTTTGGAGAACATCCACATCAACCGTCCTGGGAGAACATCCACACCAACCTCCCCAGGAGAATGTCCACACCAACCTCTTTAGGAGAACATCCAACCCACCTCCTTTGGAGAATATCCAACCAACCTTTCCAGGAGAACATCCAATCAACCTCCTCAGGAGAGCATCCACACCAATCTTTTCATGAGAACATCCAACCAACCTCCCCGGGAGAATGCCCACACCAACCTCCTTCCTGGGAGAACATCCAACTAACTTTTCCAGGAGAACATCCACACCAATCTTTTCATGAGAACATCCAATCAACCTCCCCAGGAGAACATCCAACCAGCCTTTCCAGACCACCCCCACCAATCCCCCCTTGCAGCCCCCGGAGCCTGAGTGCTCCCAGTGCTGTGGAAACTCCAGAAAAATAACCCAAAAGCCCCCCTGGGAGATGCCAGGACCCATCCAGCCTAAACCTCCCCTGGTGCTTCCCACGGACACATCCAGGTTGGGAAAATTCCCCTTGGGGGATCCCGGCACTGGAGCTGCGAGAAATCCTTGGACAACGAAGCCCAGTAAATCATTTGGAGCTGGAGAAGCCCAGCTGGCTCCCATCCCAAATCCCGGGAAACGGAGGCACATTCAGGACAAAATTCAAAATTTTCTGCTCCACAGCATCCCTGGTTTTATGTCCTGGAGTATTCAGGAGAAAGGATTTCCCTCTTGCTGTGGGAAGAATCAGGAGGCCCTGGAAAAGGTTTTCCCAGAAAAGCTGTGGCTGCCCCAGCCCTGGGAGTGTCCAAGGCCAGGGTGGAGAAGAAAAGGTTCCAAGGAGACCTTAAACCCCTTCCAGGGCCTAAAGAGGCTCCAGGAGAGCTGGAGAGGGACTTGGGACAAGGGATGGAGGGACAGGACACAGGGAATGGCTTCAGAGTGAAAGAGGGGGAATTTAGGTGGGATATTGGGAAGAAATTCCTGGCTGAGAGGGTGGTGAGGGGCTGGGATGGAATTCCCAGAGAAGCTGTGGCTGCCCCTGGATCCCTGGAAGTGTCCAAGGCCAGCTTGGAGCACCCTGGGCTAGTGGAAGCTGTCCCTGCCCATGGAAACAAGATGATCTTTAAGGTTTCTTCCAACCCCAAAGACCTTTTGGATCCGTAATCTGAATTTCCCAGGAATTCTGAGCCGAGCCCCAGCCCTGTGCTCAGGCAGTGGGCTGAAGGCAGCTGTTATTTCAGGCACATTTGATGGAGTTTTATTAAGATTCATGTTCCCTTAGTAACTAAAAAGAAGAACACGAGCGAGGAAACGGCGCTCACGGAGGAAGAGGAGCCCTGTCAACAATTCCAGGGGGTTGGGCCGAGCTTTTCCCGGCTGTGAAACACGAATTCCGCGGTAATTCGGGACCTAACGAGATGTTTATTCCAAACAAGGAGGCGGCAGGGACGCTGGAGGAGGGGGGATCCAGCTGGTTGGGAAGGGAGGGCTCTCCCTGGCACCTCTGGGCACCTCTGGGCACCTCTGGGCTGGCAGCAGGGAGGGGGCACAGCCCCTGCTCCCTGGATGCTCCCAGGCATTCCTGATTATCCCAGCTTTCCGACCTGGAGCTGAGCTGGGAGTGGGAAAACGCGGGAGCCCCGAGGAGGGAAAGGCAGCGGGGGGAGATTTGGGTGTTGGGAGGTGGTTATAGAAAAAAAATTGGGGATGGGGAGGTGGTTTTAAAGTAAAAGGGGAGGTTCAGGTGGGATATCGGGAAGGAATTCCTGCCTGGGAGGGTGAGGAGGGAATGGGATGGAATTCTCAGAGAAGCTGTGGCTGCTCCATCCCTGGAAGTGTCCAAGGCCAGGTTGGAGAAGAGAAGGTTCCAAGGAGACCTTAAACCCCTTCCAGGGCCTAAAGGGGCTCCAGGAGAGCTGGAGAGGGACTTGGGACAAGGGCTGGAGGGACAGGACACAGGGAATGGCTTCATCCCAGCTTCTCCCCACTTTCCTCATAAAACATCCCCTCCTGATCTCCAGCAGGAATCTCCCTGCTTTTAGCCCCCAAACCATTATCCCACCTTTCTTATAAAGCCCTGGAAGGTCTCCCTGGAGCCTTCTCTTCTATTCCTGAGTTTTAGCTCCTTGGAGATGGGAAAAGGTTTCCCTGGCAGGTGCAGCTCCCTCCCCCCTTCCCCTTCACCTCCAGAGCCAGGATCTGTCTGTGCCAGGAAGGTCTGTCTGTCCCAGGAGGGTCTGTCTGTCTGTCCCAGGTGGGATGGAGGCCTCTCTCTGTGCCTCCCTGGCCACCCTGCTGCTCCCACAGGAGCTCCCGGATTCCCTGCAGGAATTCCTTGCCTTTTTCAGTCAACGTCGCCGCTGGATCCAGCCCAGGAATCCCGCTGGGATCGAGCCTGGATCTTGGGCTGAGCTCAGGCAGGGGCTCTGCCGGGGGGAGCTCGGCTCCCAGCAGGATAAAAACCCCTGGAATTTGGGCTGCACTTTGTCCTTGGGGGGTTCTGCCCCACACTGGGACCTCCTGGCACCTTTTTATGGGATGCACCCTGGAGCTGGGAGCAAACAGGGCTGTATTCCTGTTGTCCTGTATTCCTCTCGTCCTGCATTCCTTTATTCCCGTATTCCTGCCTTCCTGTGACTCCCCAAGCTGTGTTTTCCCTGGAAATCTGCTCCTCTCCTTGCCCCAGGTTCAGGTTTGCTGGTTCGGGGCCTTCCCCTCTGTCCTTCCTCAGCCTGGAATAAAGTAGTTTCCCATTTTGGGAATGCAATTCCCTGGGAAAGCCCCCCTCCTTTCCCCTCCCCAGCTTCCCTCTTATTGCTGCCAGGGAATGAGCTGGCACTGCCCCCTCCACCGACCCTCCCTGGCAGGGAGAGACCCTCTTACCCCCCGAGGTGCCCAGGGAAGGAGGGTGAGACCCCTTTCCACCTCCACCTGGCTGTTCCCGACCTTCCTAAGGGTTCATCCCCCCATATCCCACCAGGCAAACCCCTGGCCAGGCAGTGCCAGCCCTCCCCGAGGTGCCACAGCCCGTGTTTGGGGGTGTTTGATGCCCACGGGAGGATCCAGGGGCTCCTCTGTGGATCCCCTCAGCCCCTCTCTGTCGTCATGGATGAGGAGATCCGGGCTCCAGGAGACATCCTGGATGCCCCAGGAAGATCCTGAGGCTCAGCAGGATCCCTCAGGTGCCCAGATATCCCCTCATTTTCTCCAAAACCCTCTCCCAACATCCCTCTTCCAGCACCTTCCACCTCAGCACCGGGATTCCGGGTCTGACCCCCAACCCCCCATGTGGGAGCTTGGCCGGTTTCCTGCTAAACCTGTGGATAACAGGAATGCCAATTCCCCTTCCAGCAGCTCTCCAAAGCCATGGAGCCGCCCTGGAGGGGCTCTCCCAGCCTGGCAGCTCCACAGGATCCAATAATTTGGGACACGCCAGGTGGATCAGCACACACACCCCCCCCCCGACTGCCAGGGATGTCCCATCCACGTTTTTGGGAGAGAAAGGGCCAACCCTTCGGCCCAAGGGGGATGTTCAGCCCAATCCCAGCTAAGCAGGGATGTTTTCCCCCTAAATCCCAGGCTCTGGAATCCCTGCTCCTCCCGGGGAAGCCCAGCCAGGAGCACGACCCTTCCCATCCCTGCTCATCCCGGCACACACGGGAAACCGCCCCCCCCCGCCGCTCCCAAACCACCCAGGGAGCATCCAGACCCCCCAGGAAAGGCTCTTCCCACCCCAAATCCCGCGCTCCCGCCCTCTCCACCCACGCTGGACAACATCCAGCAGATATCCTGGACCCCGAGCCCGGGAGGGGTGGGGGGTCCCCGGTACCCCCCTCCTCACAGTGCCCGCGGCGGGAGCATTCCAGAGGGGATGGGGGCACGGACAGTACCTGGAATGCCGGCTCCATGCCTTGCCATGCCGGGGGAAGGAGCGCTCCGGGAAGGAGCCGCTCCTGGCTCCCGCTGGAGCGGGTTCCTATGGCGATGCGGGAGCGATTAGAATAAAAGGTGGAGCGCAGCAACTGGAGCCGGGAGAAGTTTCCTGAGCCGCTGCCTGGGAAAAACCAGACCGTGGGAGAGCGAGCGCGGGGCCGGGGGCTGAGCCTGCCCGCCCCCGCCTGCGGCTCCTTGTGGTCCCCCCATCCCCCAAAAAAATAACCCCCCCAATCCCCAGGGCTGCATCTCTGCCCCTCTGAGATCCTCCTGGGTGTGTGTCCGTCCAGACCCACAGCCTGGGATGCTCCCGAATCCCTGGGATGCTCCCGAATCCCTGGGATGCTCCCGAATCCCTGGGATGCTTCAGAATCAGTGGGATGCTCCAGAATCAATGGGATGCTCCTGAATCCCTGGGATGCTCCAGAATCCCTGGGATGC